CGGGACCCCCCCGCACCTGAAGCAGGGGGAGAGATGCACCGACATGTTCTTGTGGCGCTTCTCGAAGCGGTTGTACTTGCGGATGTAGTGCAGGTAGTCCCGCCGGATGACGATGGTGCGCTGCATCTTCATCTTGGTGACCACCCCTGGGGGGGGACAGGATGGTGACATCATCACCCGGTGCACATTTGGGGCAGAACTACCAGAAAATAGGGACAGGGTTTCACCCCCACCACGCCCAGCGCAAATTTGGGGCAGAACTATAAGAAAACGGGGATGGGAGGTTTCACCGGAGCTTCTCAGGGGGACGAGCGGGACCCGGCACCTTCACTCCTGATTTATCCCCAGATTCTCCATGTTTCTCCCCAAATCCCAGGCTGGGGGACACACACACACACACCTCGGGGACCCCCTGCTCCAACCTCCCCCCCCCAGCCCAACCCCAACATTTTACATTATTAAAAGCTAAAATTAACTTCACAATCACGGGACAGTTGAGGTTGGGAGGGACCTTAAAGATCTGGGGGTTCCACCCCCCAACAATAAACCCCAACGCACCCTTTGGGGGTGCTGGGGGACCCCAGTTCTACCAGGATGGAGTTTGGGCACCCCAGTTCTACCAGGATGGAGCTCAAGGATCCCACTTCTACCAGGATGGAGCTTGGAGACCCCAGTTCTACCAGGATGGAGCTTGGAGACCCCAGTTCTTCCAGGAGAAACCTTGAGGACCCCAGTTCTTCCAGGAGAAACCTTGAGGACCCCAGTTCTTCCAGGATGGAGCTTGGGGAACCTGGTTCTACCAGGACGGAGCTCAAGGACCCCACTTCTACCAGGACTGAACCCGGGGACTCCACTGAGCTCAGGAACCCCAGTTCGCCACCAGGATGGAGCTTGGGCACCCCAGTTCTACCAGGATGGAACCTGGGGACCCCTAGTTCTTCCAGGATGGAGGTCAGGAACCTCAGTTCTTCCAGGAGAAACCTTGAGGACTCCAGTTCTTCCAGGATGGAGCTTGGGGAACCTGGTTCTACCAGGACGGAGCTCAAGGACCCCACTTCTACCAGGACTGAACCCAGGGACTCCACTTCTACCAGGATGGAGCTCGGGGAACCCCAGTTCTTCCAGGATGGGAGCTCAAGGACCCCACTTCTACCAGGACTGAACCCGGGGACTCCACTGAGCTCAGGAACCCCAGTTCTTCCAGGATAGACCTTGGGGACCCCAGTTCTACCAAGACTGAGCTCAGGAACCCCAGTTCTTCCAGGATAGACCTTGGGGACCCCAGTTCTTCCAGGATGGAGCTTGGGGAAGCTGGTTCTACCAGGATGGAGCTCAAGGACCCTACTTCTACCAGGATGGAACTTGGGGACCCCAGTTCTTCCAGGACAGAGCTCGGGGACCCCAGTGCTCTCAGGATGGAGCTCAAGGACCCCATTTCTACCAGGATGGAACTTGGGGACCCCAGTTCTTCCAAGATGGAGCTCAAGGACCCCACTTCTACCAGGACTGAACCCAGGGACTCCACTTCTACCAGGATGGAGCTCGGGGAACCCCAGTTCTTCCAGGATGGAGCTTGGGGACCCCGGTTCTTCCAGGATGGAGCTCAGGACCCCACTTCTACCAGGGCTAAGCTCAGGAACCCCAGTTCTTCCAGGATGGGAGCTCAAGGACCCCACTTCTACCAGGATGGAGCCAGGGAACCCCAGTTCTTCCAGGATGGGAGCTCAAGGACCCCACTTCTACCAGGATGGAGCTTGGGGACCCCAGTTCTTCCAGGACAGAGCTCGGGGACCCCAGTGCTCTCAGGATGGAGCTCAAGGACCCCATTTCTACCAGGATGGAACTTGGGGACCCCAGTTCTTCCAAGATGGAGCTCAAGGACCCCACTTCTACCAGGATGGAGCCAGGGAACCCCAGTTCTTCCAGGATGGAGCTTGGAGACCTCACTTCTACCCAGACGGAGGGACATTCTCATGGCCAGGGGACAATACTAAGACTTTTGCCATAAAAAGAATTATTTCTCTCATCTTTCTGAAGGCTTCTAAGCGCACCCTGAGACACCTTCCCCACAACCCCCGACCCCCACAGCCTCTGGGGCTCCGTCACACCAACATCTGCCCCACGGCAGCACATCTGGAGGGCGACCACGGGTCCTGGGGCCGGGCATCAGCAAAGCCGAGACGGCGTCGTCCTCAGAGCCCCTTCACCGGGGGGCTTGGAAGACCATCGTGAGAAAAGGGCATCATGTGCAGCCCCAGGACCCGGCAGCTCCAGAGGGACATTTTGGGGGGGTGGTTCCTGCTCACCCACACCCAGGGTGATGCCTGTAGGGTCACCCCATAACGTAGGGTCACCCCTTAATGACCCCTCAACCCACCTGACAGGATCCGGCCCCGGATGGAGACGTTACCGGTGAAGGGACATTTCTTGTCAATGTAGGTGCCCTCGATGGCCTGCAAAGAGAAACCATTCGTAGGATCAGAGGATTTTGGGTGGGAAGGGACTTTTCAAGGCCACCCAGGGACACCTCCCACCACACCAGGTTGCTCCAAGCCCCCTCCAACCTGGCCTTGAACCCCTCCAGGGATGGGGCAGCCACAGCTTCTCGGGGCAACCTGGGCCAGGCTCTCAACCCATCCATCCATCTCATTCCCCATCCATCCTTCTCCCCATCAAGAGTGCCTCCATCCACCTCCCCATCCATCCATCCATCCATCCATCCCATCTCCCCATCCATCCCTCCCTCCTTCCCTCTCCCCATCCATCCCTCCCTCCTTCCCTCTCCCCATCCATCCCTCTCCTCATCCAGAGTCCCTCCCCATCTCTCCTGGAGCCCCCACTTTAGGGACTGGAAGGGGCTCCAAGGTCTCCCCAGAGCCTTCTCTTCTCCAGGCTGAACCCCCCAACTCTCTCAGCCCCCCCTCCCAGCAGAGGGGCTCCAGCCCCCCTCCCAGCATCTCCGTGTCCCTCCTTTTGGGGTGTGGGGGGAGCGCAGACCCCCAGCCCGGTGGGGGATCAGCCCTGCCCCTCCTTTACCTCCTTGGGGGTCTTGAAGCCCAGGCCGATGTTTTTGTAGTAGCGGGGAAGCTTCTCCTTCCCCCCCTCCCCCAGCAGCACCCGCTTCTTGTTCTGGAAGATGGTGGGCTGCTTCTGGTAGGCCCTCTCGGTCTGAGGTGGGGGGAGAGAAGAGGGGACAGTCACCGCCGGCCCCACGGCGCCTCACGAGCACCAAGAATAGACCCCACCAACCCCCACCGCCCCACAGCCCTCACGGGGCGGGGGATCCTGGCGACCTGGGGGATCCCGGCGACCTGAGGCCCGATCTTGGCGACCCAGGACCTGCTCCTGGCGACCTGAGACCTGGCCCAGGGCCCTCTCCCAAAGATCTAGGCCTGATCCCGGCGACCGGGAGCCTGATCCCGGCGACCTGATCCGGGACTCGATCCCGACTGCCAGGGGCCTGAGCCGGGGCCTGCTCCTGGCGACCCGGGGCCTGATCCCGGCGACCCAGGACCTGCTCCTGGCGACCTGGGGCCTGGCCCAGGGCCCTCTCCCGAAGACCTAGGCCTGATCCCGGCGACCGGGGGCCTGATCCCAGCGACCTGATCCGGGGCCTGCTCTCGGCGACCTGAGACCTGCTCCTGGCGACTTAAAGCCTGCTCCTGGCGACCTGGGGCCTGGCCCAGGGCCCTCTCCCGAAGATCTAGGCCTGATCCCGGCGACCGGGGGCCTGATCCCAGCGCCCTGATCCGGGGCCTGCTCTCGGCGACCTGAGACCTGCTCCTGGCGACTTAAAGCCTGCTCCTGGCGACCTGGGCCCTGGCCCAGGGCCCTCTCCCGAAGACCTAGGCCTGATCCCGGCGACCGGGGGCCTGATCCCAGCGCCCTGATCCGGGGCCTGCTCTCGGCGACCTGAGACCTGCTCCTGGCGACTTAAAGCCTGCTCCTGGCGACCTGGGCCCTGGCCCAGGGCCCTCTCCCGAAGACCTAGGCCTGATCCCGGCGACCGGGGGCCTGATCCCAGCGCCCTGATCCGGGGCCTGCTCTCGGCGACCTGAGACCTGCTCCTGGCGACTTAAAGCCTGCTCCTGGCGACCTGGGCCCTGGCCCAGGGCCCTCTCCCGAAGACCTAGGCCTGATCCCGGCGACCGGGGGCCTGATCCCAGCGCCCTGATCCGGGGCCTGCTCTCGGCGACCTGAGACCTGCTCCTGGCGACTTAAAGCCTGCTCCTGGCGACCTGGGCCCTGGCCCAGGGCCCTCTCCCGAAGACCTAGGCCTGATCCCGGCGACCGGGGGCCTGATCCCAGCGCCCTGATCCGGGGCCTGCTCTCGGCGACCTGAGACCTGCTCCTGGCGACTTAAAGCCTGCTCCTGGCGACCTGGGCCCTGGCCCAGGGCCCTCTCCCGAAGACCTAGGCCTGATCCCGGCGACCGGGGGCCTGATCCCAGCGCCCTGATCCGGGGCCTGCTCTCGGCGACCTGAGACCTGCTCCTGGCGACTTAAAGCCTGCTCCTGGCGACCTGGGCCCTGGCCCAGGGCCCTCTCCCGAAGACCTAGGCCTGATCCCGGCGACCGGGGGCCTGATCCCAGCGCCCTGATCCGGGGCCTGCTCTCGGCGACCTGAGACCTGCTCCTGGCGACTTAAAGCCTGCTCCTGGCGACCTGGGCCCTGGCCCAGGGCCCTCTCCCGAAGACCTAGGCCTGATCCCGGCGACCGGGGGCCTGATCCCAGCGCCCTGATCCGGGGCCTGCTCTCGGCGACCTGAGACCTGCTCCTGGCGACTTAAAGCCTGCTCCTGGCGACCTGGGCCCTGGCCCAGGGCCCTCTCCCGAAGACCTAGGCCTGATCCCGGCGACCGGGGGCCTGATCCCAGCGCCCTGATCCGGGGCCTGCTCTCGGCGACCTGAGACCTGCTCCTGGCGACTTAAAGCCTGCTCCTGGCGACCTGGGCCCTGGCCCAGGGCCCTCTCCCGAAGACCTAGGCCTGATCCCGGCGACCGGGGGCCTGATCCCAGCGCCCTGATCCGGGGCCTGCTCTCGGCGACCTGAGACCTGCTCCTGGCGACTTAAAGCCTGCTCCTGGCGACCTGGGCCCTGGCCCAGGGCCCTCTCCCGAAGACCTAGGCCTGATCCCGGCGACCGGGGGCCTGATCCCAGCGCCCTGATCCGGGGCCTGCTCTCGGCGACCTGAGACCTGCTCCTGGCGACTTAAAGCCTGCTCCTGGCGACCTGGGCCCTGGCCCAGGGCCCTCTCCCGAAGACCTAGGCCTGATCCCGGCGACCGGGGGCCTGATCCCAGCGCCCTGATCCGGGGCCTGCTCTCGGCGACCTGAGACCTGCTCCTGGCGACTTAAAGCCTGCTCCTGGCGACCTGGGCCCTGGCCCAGGGCCCTCTCCCGAAGACCTAGGCCTGATCCCGGCGACCGGGGGCCTGATCCCAGCGCCCTGATCCGGGGCCTGCTCTCGGCGACCTGAGACCTGCTCCTGGCGACTTAAAGCCTGCTCCTGGCGACCTGGGCCCTGGCCCAGGGCCCTCTCCCGAAGACCTAGGCCTGATCCCGGCGACCGGGGGCCTGATCCCAGCGCCCTGATCCGGGGCCTGCTCTCGGCGACCTGAGACCTGCTCCTGGCGACTTAAAGCCTGCTCCTGGCGACCTGGGCCCTGGCCCAGGGCCCTCTCCCGAAGACCTAGGCCTGATCCCGGCGACCGGGGGCCTGATCCCAGCGCCCTGATCCGGGGCCTGCTCTCGGCGACCTGAGACCTGCTCCTGGCGACTTAAAGCCTGCTCCTGGCGACCTGGGCCCTGGCCCAGGGCCCTCTCCCGAAGACCTAGGCCTGATCCCGGCGACCGGGGGCCTGATCCCAGCGCCCTGATCCGGGGCCTGCTCTCGGCGACCTGAGACCTGCTCCTGGCGACTTAAAGCCTGCTCCTGGCGACCTGGGCCCTGGCCCAGGGCCCTCTCCCGAAGACCTAGGCCTGATCCCGGCGACCGGGGGCCTGATCCCAGCGCCCTGATCCGGGGCCTGCTCTCGGCGACCTGAGACCTGCTCCTGGCGACTTAAAGCCTGCTCCTGGCGACCTGGGCCCTGGCCCAGGGCCCTCTCCCGAAGACCTAGGCCTGATCCCGGCGACCGGGGGCCTGATCCCAGCGCCCTGATCCGGGGCCTGCTCTCGGCGACCTGAGACCTGCTCCTGGCGACTTAAAGCCTGCTCCTGGCGACCTGGGCCCTGGCCCAGGGCCCTCTCCCGAAGACCTAGGCCTGATCCCGGCGACCGGGGGCCTGATCCCAGCGCCCTGATCCGGGGCCTGCTCTCGGCGACCTGAGACCTGCTCCTGGCGACTTAAAGCCTGCTCCTGGCGACCTGGGCCCTGGCCCAGGGCCCTCTCCCGAAGACCTAGGCCTGATCCCGGCGACCGGGGGCCTGATCCCAGCGCCCTGATCCGGGGCCTGCTCTCGGCGACCTGAGACCTGCTCCTGGCGACTTAAAGCCTGCTCCTGGCGACCTGGGCCCTGGCCCAGGGCCCTCTCCCGAAGACCTAGGCCTGATCCCGGCGACCGGGGGCCTGATCCCAGCGCCCTGATCCGGGGCCTGCTCTCGGCGACCTGAGACCTGCTCCTGGCGACTTAAAGCCTGCTCCTGGCGACCTGGGCCCTGGCCCAGGGCCCTCTCCCGAAGACCTAGGCCTGATCCCGGCGACCGGGGGCCTGATCCCAGCGCCCTGATCCGGGGCCTGCTCTCGGCGACCTGAGACCTGCTCCTGGCGACTTAAAGCCTGCTCCTGGCGACCTGGGCCCTGGCCCAGGGCCCTCTCCCGAAGACCTAGGCCTGATCCCGGCGACCGGGGGCCTGATCCCAGCGCCCTGATCCGGGGCCTGCTCTCGGCGACCTGAGACCTGCTCCTGGCGACTTAAAGCCTGCTCCTGGCGACCTGGGCCCTGGCCCAGGGCCCTCTCCCGAAGACCTAGGCCTGATCCCGGCGACCGGGGGCCTGATCCCAGCGCCCTGATCCGGGGCCTGCTCTCGGCGACCTGAGACCTGCTCCTGGCGACTTAAAGCCTGCTCCTGGCGACCTGGGCCCTGGCCCAGGGCCCTCTCCCGAAGACCTAGGCCTGATCCCGGCGACCGGGGGCCTGATCCCAGCGCCCTGATCCGGGGCCTGCTCTCGGCGACCTGAGACCTGCTCCTGGCGACTTAAAGCCTGCTCCTGGCGACCTGGGCCCTGGCCCAGGGCCCTCTCCCGAAGACCTAGGCCTGATCCCGGCGACCGGGGGCCTGATCCCAGCGCCCTGATCCGGGGCCTGCTCTCGGCGACCTGAGACCTGCTCCTGGCGACTTAAAGCCTGCTCCTGGCGACCTGGGCCCTGGCCCAGGGCCCTCTCCCGAAGACCTAGGCCTGATCCCGGCGACCGGGGGCCTGATCCCAGCGCCCTGATCCGGGGCCTGCTCTCGGCGACCTGAGACCTGCTCCTGGCGACTTAAAGCCTGCTCCTGGCGACCTGGGCCCTGGCCCAGGGCCCTCTCCCGAAGACCTAGGCCTGATCCCGGCGACCGGGGGCCTGATCCCAGCGCCCTGATCCGGGGCCTGCTCTCGGCGACCTGAGACCTGCTCCTGGCGACTTAAAGCCTGCTCCTGGCGACCTGGGCCCTGGCCCAGGGCCCTCTCCCGAAGACCTAGGCCTGATCCCGGCGACCGGGGGCCTGATCCCAGCGCCCTGATCCGGGGCCTGCTCTCGGCGACCTGAGACCTGCTCCTGGCGACTTAAAGCCTGCTCCTGGCGACCTGGGCCCTGGCCCAGGGCCCTCTCCCGAAGACCTAGGCCTGATCCCGGCGACCGGGGGCCTGATCCCAGCGCCCTGATCCGGGGCCTGCTCTCGGCGACCTGAGACCTGCTCCTGGCGACTTAAAGCCTGCTCCTGGCGACCTGGGCCCTGGCCCAGGGCCCTCTCCCGAAGACCTAGGCCTGATCCCGGCGACCGGGGGCCTGATCCCAGCGCCCTGATCCGGGGCCTGCTCTCGGCGACCTGAGACCTGCTCCTGGCGACTTAAAGCCTGCTCCTGGCGACCTGGGCCCTGGCCCAGGGCCCTCTCCCGAAGACCTAGGCCTGATCCCGGCGACCGGGGGCCTGATCCCAGCGCCCTGATCCGGGGCCTGCTCTCGGCGACCTGAGACCTGCTCCTGGCGACTTAAAGCCTGCTCCTGGCGACCTGGGCCCTGGCCCAGGGCCCTCTCCCGAAGACCTAGGCCTGATCCCGGCGACCGGGGGCCTGATCCCAGCGCCCTGATCCGGGGCCTGCTCTCGGCGACCTGAGACCTGCTCCTGGCGACTTAAAGCCTGCTCCTGGCGACCTGGGCCCTGGCCCAGGGCCCTCTCCCGAAGACCTAGGCCTGATCCCGGCGACCGGGGGCCTGATCCCAGCGCCCTGATCCGGGGCCTGCTCTCGGCGACCTGAGACCTGCTCCTGGCGACTTAAAGCCTGCTCCTGGCGACCTGGGCCCTGGCCCAGGGCCCTCTCCCGAAGACCTAGGCCTGATCCCGGCGACCGGGGGCCTGATCCCAGCGACCTGATCCGGGGCCTGCTCTCGGCGACCTGAGACCTGCTCCTGGCGACTTAAAGCCTGCTCCTGGCGACCTGGGGCCTGGCCCAGGGCCCTCTCCCGAAGATCTAGGCCTGATCCCGGCGACCGTGGGCCTGATCCCGGCGACAAAGGGCCTGATCCAGCGCCTGCTCTCGGCGACCTGAGGCCTGGCCCAGTGCCCTCTCCCGAAGATCTAGGCCTGATCCCGGCTACCGGGGGCCTGATCCCGGCGACCGGGGGCTTGCTCCTGGCGACCCAGGGCCCTCTCCCGAAGATCTACGCCTGATCTGGGCGACCGGGGGCCTGGTCCCAGCGCCCTGAGGCCTAGTCCGGCCTCCACTCCCAGCGACCTGAGACCCGCTCCAAGCGCCCCAGGGCCTGCCTCAAGGCCCTCTCCCGACCGCCCAGGGGGGGGGGGGAATGCGTGTGTGTCCCTCCTCACGGGGGGTTTGGGGGGGATTTGGAGGTTTTTGGGGTCCATTAAAGGGTCAGAAAGACCACGAGTGGCTTTGGGGGTCACCCAAGGGTGCCAGCACGTATTTTGGGGGGCTCTGGGTGGGGGTTTGGGGTCTCAAAAGGCCTGTGGAGGGCCCGAGGCGGGTTGGGGACCACCAAAGGGTCGCAGCACCCATTTTTTGCAGAGTCTGAGCGGGTTGTGGTCTCCAAAAAGGCTGTATGTGGGCCCAGAGGGGTTTTGGGGAGTCAGCAAAGGGTCCTAGCACCCATTTTTGGGGGGGGTTCAGTCCCCAGAAAGGCTGTCGGTGGGCCCGGAGGGGTTTTGGAGGGTCACCAAAGGGTCCCAGCACCAAGTTGGGAGGGACTGGGGGGGGACTTGGGGATTTGGGGTCCTCGAAAGGGCCAGAGAGACCACCAGTGGCTTTGGGGATCACTGAGGGGTGCCAGCGCATATTTTGGGGGGCTCTGGGTGGGGGTTTGGGGTCTCAAAAGGCCCGGCGACCGGGGGCTTGCTCCTGGCGACCCAGGGCCCTCTCCCGAAGATCTACGCCTGATCTGGGCGACCGGGGGCCTGGTCCCAGCGCCCTGAGGCCTAGTCCGGCCTCCACTCCCAGCGACCTGAGACCCGCTCCAAGCGCCCCAGGGCCTGCCTCAAGGCCCTCTCCCGACCGCCCAGGCCCCCTCCCGGCGCCCCAGGGCCTGCTCGGGGCCCGTTTCCCGGCGCTCGGGGCCCGGTCGTGCCGCGGCACCCACCTGCGTGTCCGCCATCTTGGAAAAGAGGCGGCGGGGCCGCGCGTGGCGGCCCTTATCCCCGGGGGCGGGGCGGGCGCGGCGGAAGTGACGTCACTTTCC